AGGAGGTCAATTACCAAGATACCACCCTTGTCTCACTAGCAGAAGCAAATCGGGAACTAGAACGAAAGAAGGAGCTTTTAGACAAATCTGTTGCCGAACAAATGAAGGCAGAAACTAGAAAGGAATTTACTTCATTGAAAAAGAGAAAGAAGAAAGCAAGACAAGATCCATTCTCCTTTACCGTTATCAAAGAATAAGAAAAAAGAGGAACGAAAGACGAAACGAAAAATTAATTCAACTAAAAGGAAAGACTCAAAAAGAATTTGTTAAAATGTCATCACTAGCCCAAATAGAGTTAAGCTCAACCATTATTATTATTAATGTATGAATAATTATATTTATGATTTAGGACTTTAGAAATAAATTTAGGAAAATGATTTAGGGATTTTAGGAATAAATTTAGGAAAATGATTTAGGTATTTTAGGGAAAAGGTGGAGAAATCTTAGGAATAGATTGACAACCCTCTAGTATAAATACCCTTCCATCCTACTTCATCATCCCAAAAAATCCCAAGCAATACAAAGTAGTTTCTACAGAGTGTTTTGTAAATCCTTTCTCGATTGGTTTTAATAAAGAGTGCGAGTGTTTCGCATAGAGAGTTGTGTTCAACAGAATTCTCTTTCACTCCTTTACTAAATTGAATAAGGTAAGTAAAGCAGCTGGATGAGAAAAAACTTTCATGTCCCGATTCGATTCCTTGTCTCACTGATGGCTATATATAAATATATTCTATTCCAGATAAAGGAGAGGAGATTTGAATTTATAAATCAGAGGAGAAGGTATAAATGACTAACTACTTGAGTTATGCCCAAGTTGACCACGCTACTTGAGTTACACAGGTTTTAGCCTTTTGAGGAGCTCTCCCTCAAAACTAATTTCCAAAATTCTATCCTAACTCCCACTATTTATACCGGTCAACTAAAAGGAAAATGCATACATTTTAAGTTGCTTTGAAACTTGTAATCTGGGCGTGTGTGTGTGTGCGCGCGTGAGAGAGAGAGAGAGAGAGAGTACTTCAAGAAGAGAAGCAAGAGCTTCCCGCAGCTTGACTTTAATGGAACGACACAGATCAATATTCTCATCTGTCGTCCTCATGGCTTCTAATACTCGTTCTGATATTCCTGGACCCAAATGAGGATTGCAAGTCCTAACCCATTCTTCGTGATTGATTTTGAACTCATACCTACAAAGGAGAAGTAAAACGTGAGGAGATGAAGGTCAGTCGTTTATTCAGCACAAAAATATATCATAATCAATTAGCTCGATAGAATTAGAGTTACGATTCATGGACAGATCAGAACCTCTGAAGCAATTGCATCGATCTTGCAAGGGCTGCCAAGGATGGTATGCTATGTTCATGGCCTGCATTTCCTTCAATCATGAAATGCTTCAAACTTGGAACTTTGTCCTCAACATAATTCCCAAGGCTAACTTGTTTTATAAGATGGCCTGCAATTGAAGACTCATATAAGACAGCATCCAACTCGGTTGAAATATTGTATTAAGTGAACTCAAATTTTATGTTTATCATTTTTCTTCATTATTACTATTTATGATCCTATATACCATTTGCATGGCTTTGGCTCCGAATCTGACCTTTTGTTGAATGTGACAAAAAAAAGGCTACAGTTTGCAATGGCAGACATCTCAAAGTATGAAGTTAGACCCTCTAATAAATTCTCTCTTGCCGTCTAAATGAATGACAATCAAATCATAGCTCAACTTGTTAAAACATATATATACCTTCAACTAAATTCTCTCTTGCCGTCTAAATGAATGACAATTAAATCATAGCTCAACTTGTTAAAACATATATATACCTTCAACTAAAAGGTCGAAAATTCAAATTTTCACCTCACATTTTGTTAAGACTCAAAAGTATGAAACCTAAATGCAAGAAATCAAATTCAGATTCATTCACGAACTATTATCAAATATACATTCATCAAGACCACAAACTGTGAAGACAACTAATACCGAGTGTCGACTCACCACCAAATAATTTTGTTACTGCATTCACAAAAACTTGCGTCAATCGTTCACTAGGAATACATGAGAGCTTCATACAATCTTCTGCAATAAGCACCTGCGTAGGCTTGTGATGTTCAAATTCTGGCTGTTGAAGCAGGAGCTGGCCTACTCTTTTTAATACAATAGGGTCCCTGGCAAACCATCCTAAAATGAGAAGTTGGTGTCAAAGGATACACTTTGTTAATATGGCAGGATATATAGCGTTACATCATGAGTTCAAAATTGATGTCGAAGCCTTGTAGGAAGTAAAACATGTTCGGAAAGATAGCATTTCGTTGAGATATGGGCTCTATTCTATCTATAAGCAACCAATGCCTATGATATCAATAAGTACTGTACCACTCTTGAAAGCAAAGTCACAAGTAACAAAACCATCGCAACAGTGTCGTTATTACAAAAGAAGATGAAGACAAAGTAACAATGAGATACTACTCATTACCTACTGTATCAAAGCTCTGTGCCATGGGAATTACTCCAGAGGTAGAGACTGCGCCATGTGAAGGCCGAAATCCAAAGATTCCACAATAGGATGCAGGCACTCTTACACTACCTCCAGTATCAGTTCCTACAGAACTAAATATAACCTTTACAACATATTCCAGGGAGAATTCTTTAAACCACAATTGATTCAAGGTCAAAGAACTAAGAACTTGCCTAAGGAGAAATCCACAAGCTTTGCACCTACAGCAACGGCAGAGCCACTGGAAGATCCTCCAGGTATCCGATCTGATGCATGTGGGTTTTGGGGGGTGCCATAGTGAATGTTTTCCCCATTTATACTGCAAAAATATGATTATCACTAATGAAAATATTCAAAAGCCTACATCGTCACAAACAATCATTTGGTGAAAGATTTCAACTCGAAATTATAAACCTGTCGAAAGATAATTGGTTCAGTTCACATGTTGACCAATGACAATGCAGAGTTATCTGCTTGCAATAGAATGATAAGAATGGAGTAGGCATAGTTTTAAGACAAGTACAGAATGGTGTGCAGTGCAAAGTGGTAATTTTTCTGCTGTTTCCCAATTTCCAAAGCTTAAGCCTTGTTTGTTTGTTATCAATTGTAAGAAACGAAAGCTAAAAGGAAAAGAAAGAGTAAAAGCTAGATTTTCTTGGGACCTGTAGGCCATTTCATCCATGATAGTCTTGCCAATGCAGGTGGCTCCTCCTTTTAGGATCGACGACACGGCAGGGGCTGTCTGATTAGCAGGTGGATGTGTCCTTAGCCATTCAGGATTTCCAAAACCAGTTACATATCCATCCACATCAAATCTGTTTGGTTCAAAGTCCAATGAGAAGTTTGTCATCAATGCTTCGGTTTCATGAAAAAAAACTAACACTTTTATATAAAGGACCATGCATTAAAACAACAAAGAATTATTTTATTGAACTAAGCTTCATCTTACACACACTAATGACCAGTTAAAATAGAAAACCAACTGTTGATGGCTTGTAAGAATGGAGATATCAATATCTACAAATATATTGGCAATAAGATTTGGGTATATGTTGGTAAATTAGCGACAAACGTTACGATAATCTTATGTTATATAACAATTTAATCTTCATTTTACTACTCGTAATACTCTTTCTACACTAAAAGAAGAATTCAAATAGAACTTCACAACTGAAAATTATTTTACCTCTGTATTTAAATGGGCGAGTCAAATTTAGCCTTTGAAGTATTAATTTCATCAAATTCAACCCTAAAATTAGTGAAGTGGTAAAATCGATACTCTCTATAACTTTAACAATTAAAACATCTCTACTTTCTCTAGGAGGTTGTATGTTCGAACCTTAGAGTTGAACTCCTAAGATATAAGATGAGTTACTTTTAATATTTTTTTGGTTAAATCTCTTCTTGTTTTTAATGCATTGATTGATTCATTGACAACTTCGTAACTGATCTCACTACTAATTAATAAATCAACTCACTAGTACAAACGGAATTTTCCCCAAAGAACGATCAATTCATTTCATGAATATATGTTGGTCGAATAAATAATATCGGATGGAATCATCAATTCCACCAAGCATTGAAACTGAAAGCGTTTCATACTATCCATCATACTTTAGAGAGATTACAGAACTCATAACCTGTTATCAAGCCAAATAAAAAGTAGAAAATAATCAAAAAAAAAATTCTCACATATCTTTAACAGCAAAAGTGAGGCCAGCCAAGGGAAGTTGATCGGACGGGGAGCTCGGTTGCAGGAGGAATTTCTCCATGAAAGCTCCATGATCCTGCACAGCCATTACAACTCCGGAGATTCTCCCCCTTTCTTCTTCGAATCTAACCGGAATCAGAGTCCGCCACAACCACCTTAATAGTGGCTGGAAATTGCAGAGCGGAGGTTAAACTAGCGAAGCGAGAGAAGAAGAAGATGATGAAGGATCAGCAAATGATACAACGGAATCGGTAATGGCTTATCCACTCATAAAAAAAAATTCTATTTATTTAATTTCCAAATTTAAAATTTTCGTTGAATAAAGCTTTTATAATTTTCAAAATATTTATCAATTAATTGTTTGCTCCACCACCAAATCCACCCCTCTTTGGGGCCGGCCGGCATCTTTACTGGTACACCGCCTCGTGTCTACCTCGTTCAGGCAATAGCGAGAAGGCTGGTGTGGGACCACCACCAAATTCACCCCTCTTTGGGGCCAAGCATCCTTACTGGCACACTAACTCGTGACCCTTCTTTGGGGCCAGCATCTTTACTGGCACACTGCCTCGTGACCCTTCTTTGGGGTCAGCATCTTTACTGGCACACTGCCTCGTGTCTACCTCCTTCGGGGAACAACGAGAAGGCTGGTGTGGGACCACCACCAAATTCACCCCTCTTTGGGGCCAAGCATCCTTACTGGCACACTGACTCGTGACCCTTCTTTGGGGCCAGCATCTTTACTGGTACACCGCCTCGTGTCTACCTCCTTCAGGCAACAACGAGAAGGCTGGTGTGGGACCACCACCAAATTCACCCCTCTTTGGGGCCAAGCATCCTTACTGGCACACTGACTCGTGACCCTTCTTTGGGGTCAGCATCTTTACTGGCACACTGACTCGTGTCTACCTCCTTCGGGGAACAACGAGAAGGCTGGTGTGGGACCACTACCAAATCCACCCCTCTTTGGGGCCAGCATCCTTACTGGCACACTGTCTCGTGACCCTTTTTTGGGGCCAGCATCTTTACTGGCACACTGTCTCGTGACCCTTCTTTGGGGTCAGCATCTTTACTGGAACACTACCTCGTGTCTACCTCCTTCGGGGAACAACGAGAAGGCTGGTGTGGGACCACCACCAAATCCACCCCTCTTTGGGGCCAGCATCCTTACTGGCACACTACCTCGTGTCTACCCCCCTTCGGGGAATAGCGAAAAGGTTGGCTACCCCCCTTCGGGAAACAGCGAGAAGGCTGGCACATCGTCCAGTGTCTGGCTCAAATACCATTTGTAACGATCCAGATCCACCACTAGCAAATATTGTCCTCTTTGGACTTCTCTTTCGAGCTTCCCCTCAAGGCTTTAAAACACGTCTGCTATGGGAAAGTTTCCACACCCTTATAAAAGGTGTTTTGTTCTCCTCCTCAACCAATGTGGGACATCACATATTATGTGTTAGAATTCTCCCACATGTTACTTCTTCACATAAGTGAGTGTTCAGACTGTTCGATGTGAGCAATTATCCATATGTTGATGGTTTGAACGTTTACTAGCTATAGAATGCATGATTAGGAAATTTTAATGAATTGATTTATGAACATGAATGCACGATAGGTGTAAATGACTGAAATGCCCTAAAAAGAGATAGTACTCTACGCTTATATAAAGATGAACAAAGTTAAGAATAGGGTGTTAGAGTACATTTTCACGATCAACATGGTGAAGACAATTCTAGTAGATTGAGCACTCATGGTTCACCCTAGTGCTACCAAACCTAGACTAGCCCACGAGCTAGTTCAAAAAATCTCATAATGTTGGCATTTATGTCCTAAAGCTTCATGGTTAATTATTTAATTTTTAATAATAATTTTGATTATTTTATTTACAATTTAATGTTATCAATGGTATGAAAAATTCAAGGCTATTTAATGTAATGTTGAACAGTATGTCGTTGACATTATAAGAGAATTATGTTCAAGTAATAACCTAAAGAGTCTATAGTATATGGATAAGGTTGAGTGTCTTGTCTTGGTAACACTATTAATGTGATTCACTTTGGTTGTTATAGATGATTTGATCCAAATCATTCACGTGGAGACATGTGAGTAGGGTATCACATACCATGAATTTGTATAAAACTGAACCATGAAATATTTAATCTTTATTTATAAATTCGTTAACTAAGAAGATTAATATTTCACAAAATGTTTATATGTAACTCGAATTTAATCTAGAATGAGTTATGAACTCCTTCGTGTGTTGGATTATCCTTTGATTTGCATGGTGAGAAAACTTTTCTAGTTGATTCAATATGCCTACCATTTTGAGAACTTGATAGAGAACTAAGAACATAATTTACGAGAACATTCACTCATTCCCCTGTATGGTAAGTAGATTAGTTTCTTTAAGTGCTAATTTCAAGACTTGAACAATGGGATCCCATCATCTCACTAGTCTGAGAGGGACTTGATTTATGATTGGATCATAAAAAAATTGTTCATTATATAGAATGAATGATAGTGAAAGATGTAATTACAAAGGTAAAAAAGACTTTTGACCCAATTGTAATTATGAACATCTTGTAAATGATTGACTTACTTGTGATGATTATATCAAGTGACACAGATGTAGTTATGAACTTACCCGTAGGTGAAAGATGTAGTTAAAAGGGTAAAAAAGACTTTTGACCCTCGTAAATGATTGACTTACTTGTAATGATTATATCAATTGATGCAGATGTAATTATGAACCTACTCGTAAATGAATGATACTTAGGGTGAAAGATGTAGTTACAAGGGTAAAAAAGACTTTTGACCCAGATGTAATTATGAACCACTCATAAATAATGGACTTACTTGTGATGATTATATCAATTTACACCACTTACTCCATTTTGAATTTCCAGCCATGGGATATGATGAAGTTTGAGTTGACACAACTTCATTTTGAATATCTAGCCATTGGTTGTGGTGAGGATTGCTTAAGAGAAAACCCATTTTTGGTATGCACTTCACTATAGCATATCAAAATTTTTTATTAGTGACATTTTCATAAATATTTCAAACTTCAGGGGTATTTTTGGTAATTTTTCATTTCAGAACATTTTGTTGATTTTGGGCACGCACTTCATTTAGAACGATGTTCTCTACTTGCCTGAACTTTTGAATCACTAAAATCAGTCAAGAATCCGAGTAGCGAGTACTTAGGTGTTGGAATACGTCTACAAATTGTCCATTCTACTTCAGAAAATTATTTTAAACAAATTTTGTGAAGGAGTTCGAGAAATTGAAAATTCATTTTTAATTAAGGTAAAAAATCAGTAAGAATTTACTTTGAATGCGTTTATCTTTTTCTATAATGGATGAAATTAATTGTTTGAAATTCGCATGGAGGTGTATTTATTGGAGATCGAATCCGTGTTTTCTAACTCAAAAACTCAAAATCATAATTACAAGTTAAATTTTAATTTTATAGTTCCACAAAATCAACTCGAAATGTTATATTCAATTCTAGAAAACTAACTCAACTCAAAATGCTATATAACCCAATCTTCCTATAATTCAGTTTGAGTCGGTTCAGGTTGTCGAGTTCAATGTACGCCCCAAGATTGGTGGGGGAGGAAAACAAAACACCATTTATAAGGGTGTGGAAACCTTTCCCTAGCATACACGTTTTAAAGCCTTGAGGGGAAGCCCGAAAGGGAAAGCCCAAAGAAGACAATATTTGCTAGCGGTGGATATGGGTCATTACAAATGGTATCAGAGCCAGACATCGGACGATATGACAACCTTCTCGCTGTTCCCCAAAGGGGGTAGACATGAGGCAGTGTACCAGTAAGGATGCTAGGCCCCGAAGGGGGTGGATTTGGTGGTGGTCCCACATCGATTGGAGAAAGGAACAAGTGTCAGCAAGGACGCTGGGCCCTGAAGGGGAGTGGATTGTGATGTCCCACATTGGTTGGGGAGGAGAACTCGCTGGGCCCCAGAGAGGAGTGGATTGTGATGTCCCACATTAGTTGGGGAGGAGAACTTGCTGGGCTCTAGAGAGGAGTGGATTGTGATGTCCCACATTGGTTGGGAGGAGAACAAAACCTTCCTCTACCAGATAGCTTTTAAAGCCTTGAGGGGAATCCCAAAAGAGAAAACCCAAAGAGGACAATATCTGCTAGCGGTGGATCGAAGAAGCCCGAAAAGGAAAGCCTAAAGAGAACAATATCTACTAACGGTGGATCGGGGAAGCCCAAAAGAGAAAGCCCAAAGAGGACAATATATGCTAGCGGTGAATCGGGGAAGCCCGAAAGGGAAAGCCCAATGTAATGATCAAATATTTCATTCCACAATCTAACTCGCTAGAAAAAGAAAACTTCGATTCATAATCATACAAAGAATACATGAAAGGATGAAAAATCAAATCTCTCAAATTATTCAGTGGATACCTGGCCTTGCAGACGTTCTCATTCTTAGTAGCTTGCCTCAACTTCTTGTTTTAGAGTGCTGTAAAGAGTGTCAACAACATTGAGCAAAAACCCATCTGAACCATGTTTTGCTAGCAAAGATATAGACACAGGAAGGCCGTTGTACAATCCTAGAGGTATGGTAGCCTGCACATTAGTTGGTGGCAAGAAATACATCAATATGGTTGCTTTAACTTTCAAGAGAGGGAGAGAAAGAGTGAGAGAGAACCTGGCAGATTCCTGAGACCGAAGCAATGGAGAGCAAACTGAAAGCCTTTGCACGAAAGTCGTGTAGCTCCGAGATGTCGGTGTTTAGTTTCGGAGGGGGCCCTGGGACTGTAGGAATTACAAGAACTCCAAAATCCTGATACATAACGGCAACTCTCTTAGGATGGTATGATATTGTTTACTTTGAGTAGTACTTACCTTTGGTTTTTCCAAAAAGCCTCGTATCGATGGAGATGTATTCATTACTTATAAACTCATGATCATTCCCTTAATTAGCTAACGTGGGACTCCCCCAACAAATCTCAACAATCCTCCCCTCAAACAAAGTACACCATAAAGAGCCTCCCCGGAGATGTATGGAGCCTTTGAATAACCTCCCATTAATTGAGCTTCGACTCCTCTGGAACCCTCAAACAAAGAAAACCCTTTGTTAGACATTTGAGTCACTTTTGACCACACCTTCGAGACTCTATTCTCAACAATAATCCCCTCGAACAAAATACACCATAGAGCCTCCCCGGAGATCTATGGATCCTTTGAACAACCTCCCATTAATTGAGGTTCGACTCATCCTCTGAAAACCCTCAAACAAAGAAAACCCTTTGTTAGACATTTGAGTCACTTTTGACTACACCTTCACTTCGATACTCGAGTCACTTTTGACTACACATTCAAAACTCTCAACTTCTTTGTTCGAAATTTGAGAATTCTATTGACATGACTAAGTTAAGGGCATGATTCTGACACCATATTAGAAATCACGACCTCCACGATGGTATGATATTGTTCACTTTGTACATAAGCTCTAGTGGTTTTGCTTTTGGTTTCCCCAAAAGGCCTCATACCAATGGAGATGTATTCCTTACTTATAAACCCATGATCGACCCCTGAATTAACATACGGGACTCCTCTCCTAACAATCTTGAACAAACTAAACCAAAATTCTGCTTACCCCAACTCCCTCTCCTGACCAAAAAAGAAAAAGTCCGACAAAATTACAGATAGCTACCATTAAAATTCCTGATTAAAATCAATTCAATTTGTCTCGTAGAACACGTTTTGTCATTGGGAGTTTTTTCTACACAAAAAGCAACAGAAGTTAACAGTAGAAATCAAAATGCAAATATTTTTAAGTTGGAATTATTTCAGTTTAAAATTTTAGTAAATTGTGAGAGAGAGAGAGAGAGATAATACTTCAAGAAGAGCAGCAAGAGCAACACGCAGTTCAATTTGAACGGAGTGACTTAGATCAGTATTTTCATCCGTTGCCACCCTGATGTATTCTGATATTCGTTCTGATTTTCCTGGGCCCAAATGAGAACTATAGGACCTAACCCATTCTCCGTGATTGATTTTGAACTCATGCCTACAAGCATAAAAAGAGGGTGAAGATCATTACTTAATTCAACACAATTACACATCACAATCAATTATCTCGACAGAATTTGAGTAGCAGTTCATCCAAAGATCAATACCTCTGAAGCAATACCTTAGACCTTACAAGAGCAGCCAAGGATGGAATGCTATGCTTATAGCCATCGTTTTCTTCAATCATGAAATGCTTCAAACTTGGAACTTTATCCTCAACATAACTCCCGATGC